ATATATATATATATATAAACCTTTTCTTTAAAATAGCTTCACAGTTTTTCTGCTCAGCTCCTGATAAATAGGAAAAAACATATAATTAGCCTAAAGAATGTTTATCGTAGCTGAGTTTTTCATTGTATCAAGCCCACTTAAAAGGTATTTCTTTCAAAATTCAACTGCTAACTAGTGTACTAGTATTTTTCTTTTTTTCAATAGGGTAAATTTTCCGTTACACCCACCATTCTGGCAACAGCAGATCACATGAGCTCAGCTTTCAAGCACGATGCTGCTAGTCTGTGGATAGAAAACGCCACCAGCTCTAACTTCTACATCTGTCTACGCGAGTTACAGAATTACGATGGCCTTCATGAAGACATTTTTGTGGTACGTGAAATTTAAAACTGTTCTCAGTGCTTATATTTAAATTCAGTATAGAAAAGTAAACAAGAATAGTATTACACTTTTAAATTCATTGTATTTTTATTGTAGTTTTTTTTATTATTATTATTTTTTATTGTATTTGTATTGTTCACTGAAAAAAAAAAAAACATTTTTGGGAGTGTACAATAAAGTTTCATTCATTCATTCAATCAATTTGAAAGAATACCGAACAGTGCCTGGTTTATTTGCATGCCCAGTCGTGTAGTTGATTCTTGTAACTGTGAAATAAAACAATAGTTTTGATCATGCAACTCCGTTCAATTCAGAATTACAAAGAAAGTTCTTGGTGTCATTTCAAAAAGCCGCATGGTTTTCTGTTAAGATTACGTGTTTGGTTTGTCTGCTTGTTTGTTTAGTCTTTTGAAAATAAAGATGGGTCATAATGCCAAACGTAAACGTTTTCTTCGTCTACAACCCTTAGCTTTCGATTGCCTGTCTGAAATCTTCGAAGCCTACAAAATGCTAAAAACGTTGTTCAAAAGAATATTTGCCATTGTCGAACGAGAACAGGCATGGGCCTTGCATGTTCTGGTTATCTCTGACACAATCGTTAATTTAACTTGTTTTAGTTTAATAACTGATGTACAGGTGCTTTCAAGAAATTATTTCGCAGACGCTACGTTTGTTTAATTGTTGATCCTTATAAGCGTTTAGGTATCGTTAGTAATTGAATGAATATGTTTATTTCTCGTTTTTAGAACTGGCTGGCTTTCGAAACAATCCATCGTCCCCTTTTTACCGAGAGTAAAAAAGTCCTCTTTCCAAACGATAACCCAGTTTCTGCTAATGACAATGGAGCATTTTGTCAGGTATGTAATTGTAAATACCTTTTTGGAAAATTAACATACAACATTATATTCGAGTCTCTTTATCTTCCTTTGGAAAAGAACAATAACCTTTGCTGTCTTTAATATTACTAATGTAACCATGAATAATTGTGGGGGCACTTCATTAAAAGAAAGCCTTTGAATTTCACATTCAAGTTTGCAAACTTGCCTGGCACTGATGCTTACAAGTAGCCTTCGTAAATTAAACTCGGAGAGTTTGAAAAATACGAAAACAACATTTGTTGTTAAAATGAATGAAATTCAAGGCTGAAGGCCTCTATGATGACTGTTACACTGAAATAATATGATTTTGACCTATATTTACAGGACGTGCAGTTTGAAAGAGCTTACGACAAAGAACCTAACATAATAATAACAGCCAGTCATAATTCGTCGAGCAACAACTTAAAGCCAGCATTCATGTCTGTTGCTGCATGGATAGAGGTAGGAATTACTAACTCTCAGTGGGTCATGAAGGGATTTATATACAAATGCCAGATGCCAGTTTCAAAGTAGGATCATTTGGGAGTCAAGCTCTTTGGACCCCACATAAATGGGAATTGGGATAAATGTAACTAATCATGTCTCGCTGTTAGTGTAAGGCAGTGTGTTTCGTACTGCATACTTTTGTGGAATACATGTTCTGTAGGTTTGATCAGACAAATATAAATACTCAGATCAACTTTTATGGAAGTTGAATTAGGCTGACACAAGCGAAATTTAAAGAGAATACATCCAAAATTTAGTTAAAATAATTTTTTGCATGCTGATGAAAAACAAAATACAATAGGACTGGCGCGTAGCGTTTGAAATGAAATTTAAAATTAACGTACAGTAGAAAAGTAAGTTGGTTATTTTTTTCCTTTTTTTTTTTACTTGAAAGTCTTAAAAGAATTGGTTAACAAAACGATTGAAATGACACAGTTAAGCTCATTCATGAATGCATTTCAGTTAAATGCCCTGTACAAGGCATGTGATGGTGATCACTGAGATAATCTCTTATTTTTTTCAACCCTGAGTTAACAGAAAAAAAAATAAGAATATTCGTCCTAGATATGAAATATATAAATTTCTGCAGAGTGTATACATAAACTTACCAGGAGAAAAGTTTCAATGAAATCTGACATTTTGAGATGTTTGTTTTCTTTTCCTGTTTACAGTGAACGAATCGAACGGAGTCCAACTCGGACGACCACCCAATTAATTTTTTATTACGAGTATGATTACAGAGCCAATTTGGCCACACGAAGTCCGGTTACCAATTTTATCCTAACTGAATATATCTTCTCAGTATCATTGCCGTTCCATTTGTTTTCATTGGGAAAATAAAACCTAGAATAGTCTCTGTTCTTTTTTTCAATATTGGGCTATTACTAATAAGCCATATCTTTATTTAACAGCATATCAAGGCATCTGAATTCCGTATTTGTCTCAAGGAGTTGTTCGGTAACCAGCATGATCCCACTGCGGTGTCTTACGTTGTACTTGCAGGTGAGTGCGACAACAGGTAGCTCAAGCCATATCTTTTTTTTGTTTGTTTGTAGTTGATGTTGTTTTACGATAGTATTTACTATAGTAACAATAACCTGAGTGCCAAAAGCGACATCAAATGACTGGCCGGACTACACGAACAACAGATACACAATTGATTATGTCCAAAGTCTGAAAAAGCTAAGAACTTTTAATCTTTACAGCTTTTAGATTACAACTTTCACGGCACAAGTAATGGTTTTTCTTTTCGTTCTTGTAGACATTTGTAAACCAGGGTGGTCATACTTTTCTGGTGTTTGCTACTCAACCAGTCAATCTTGCAAGAACTGGACTGAAGCTCAGAAGACCTGCCAAAACTACAACGCCAACCTCGTGAGCGTCCGAAATCAAGAAGAAAATGTTTTCGTGCAGCATCGTTTGAATGGAGCCAGGGGTTGGATTGGATTGAACGACAGAAACAGCGAGGGCACATTTGTCTGGGCGGATAGTCGATCCAACAACTTTACATATTGGGCTCAGAGTCAACCCAATGACTTCAACAATGAAGACTGCGTCCATACCTTAGGAATTAGGCATAGCTTTATGTGGAATGACGTGAGCTGTGCGAGGTGTAATAACTACACTTGTTCAGAAGGTGTGTATAGGTGGCCACAGTCAGTAAATACCGGGGTTTGAGATGTTTAGTATTACACCCGATTAAGCTAGTCCTCAAAAGCTAGGCCAATTTAAAGCACAGGGTCAGTAATAATACTCACTGAAGTCCTTGTAAACAAACAAGAAGGAAAGAAGGGAAAGTAAACGGGGTAAAAAAGATGACAGTGCTTTGTTAGCGACCAACTGAAAATAAGTACCCAACTATAAAAGAAAACGAACCACATCTAAGAACAGAAATTAACTACATCATTTTCGTAACCAACTCGCTCCATTCCAATGGCGTTGGGTAGTTTAACGACGCCTCGACTAACTTACCGGTTTCTACACGGTGATGGCAAATAAGATTGGAAAACATTTTTTAGCACGCATGCCTGCATTCATGCACATACGGATGGCTTTTCTTACTTTCACCAGTGATTTTTAGTAAGGTCATCGCTGCATTCATGGATGTGGTTTATTTAAGAGCGATATATAATAACAGGAAACATTGTATTGTTTAATCATTCGTTTATCCAATTCATTTTCTCCTTTGACTATGTGATAAGACCTGGACGAATGCGGAAACAACGGTCATAACTGTCACCAAAATGGAGTATGTTCAAATACATATGGAGGTTATAGCTGTCAGTGTGCCAACGGATACAGTGGCGACGGTCGAACTTGCATAGGTAAACTTCATACAAATGCTACGTTTACAGATTTCAAATGTTTATGTATCAATAGCCTAGTGTAAGGACCAGGTTCTGATGCATGAGAAGATAAACACCATGGCCAGGTAAATGGTTTAAATGTTTGATTATCTCAGTTCAAAAGAGGACAAATTTTGACCGCTTTTTGCCAGATACGAATACATTCATGTATTCCCATTCTCTTTCTTAAAACATAACATGGTCAGTTACGTTTATGACGCTCTGTCCACTGCAAACTTCATTGCAGATATCGATGAATGTTTTTCTGGTCACACATGTGATAGCAGTGCATCATGTCAGAATATGGATGGATCATATGTATGTACCTGTGATGGAGGATATACAGGCGACGGGCACACTTGTCGAGGTATGAGTTTATTTGATATTTCTGCTGTGTATTGCTTTTTTTTCTGTTCCTTCACTCTATATATGACTCTGTGTCTGTATATCTAACTATTATGGAAAATTATCCGACACTTGTCGTTTCTGCCGGCCTAAATCCTCCACTTTCATACTATCCAGTATCCTCCTTCCATTGAAACCTAATGGGGCCTTGACAGCGGTAATTGTTGTTATTTGAATTTAACCAAACACGATTCAAAGACATCTTCAATCCCAATTAGCAAATGATAACATTGCTCGTAGAGTTATGGCCAAACAACTACTGCACCTGTGTCAACCTTAGTTTGTATTTTAGGCACAATTCGCTTGTCATACTTTGAGCATCACAAAGGATTTAAAGAATACTCCAGTAAAATTGTACGGAAAGCAGTGGGCAAGTTACTTCCCGGTCATCATTACAAAATGACTAAAATCTGTAATACAACATGCAAATTTAAAATTAACACATTGCTTGACGTAAATTGTACATGTTTTCAGATGTGGATGAGTGTTCACTCGGCAGTCATAACTGTGACAGCAATGCACAATGCAACAACATTCCTGGATCTTTCACTTGCCAATGTAACTACGCGAGTGGCTACTATGGCAACGGCACTGTATGCTTTGTTTACAGTATGTACTATTCTTAAATATTATTTTATTTAATAATAATAATAATAACAATTATTATAAAAAAAAAAAAAAACTTTATTGAGCACTTTTCCATACAAACTTGAATCTTACATGCATCTGGTAAAAAATTCAGAAATTCTGTTGTTCCTTAAGTTTTCGGTAATTATAATAATAATATATAATAACAGGTTATTAATATTATTAGTATTATTAGTACTATTATTATTATTATTATTATTATTATTATTATAAAGCGTAAACAGTTCAGTTATAAAACTTTCATTTTATAACTTTAATTTCCCTTTTTTAATTCATTTGTAATTTCGTTAAATTAAATTCCCGTTTATCTAACCAATTATTTTTTGGCCACATCAATAAGGGTGTTGTTTTTATTATGTTTTCGTATCTGGCGTAGCACAGAGTCTTATTGTTAGAACTAATAGTTATAATTTGCAACAATATTAAACGGAATACATCTGCATCAGGTCACTAACTGACGCATCCTAAACAAACTCTTCACATTGAATGTCTCGTGTTAGTGTAGTCAGAAAGGGGAGACTAATATGGTAGAAATTGAATCGTACATAACGGCCACCACTATATGGTCGAGAACATAACAAGGGCTAGTTCATAATTCCATAGAACTGACTGACTGAGTTTGCCTCCTGGCCGGAAAGAAAGAGCCCGGAATAATGACACGAAGCGGTCGAAATAACGAGGTGGCAGTGACAAGGTCGCCGTCAGGCGATCTCCACTGTATCGATACACATTAGACAAGGGTCAATTTACTGTGGAGGTTGATTCCTGAATGGATTAACCATACAACTGACAAAACGGATGAAAGTCTCTGGATTTGTAGAATAGTGTAAATCAGCTTTCATAGTTTGTTACCTAAGAATATTAAAATTTTACTGTATTTGTAGGAGGCTTCGAAGACTCGTTAATTGTTGGCACTGATAGCAGCAAAATGTCACAGCTGAACTCTTGGCTTAGTTCTCGCCTGCAGAATTCGGACAGAAGTTATTGGAAACGGTGTTGGAGAGGCTCTGTTGATGGCTGGCACACAAAGACCTTTCACCAACTCTGTGATGATCTCGGACCCACCGTGACTATCGTTCGCGCCAATGGCTACATATTTGGAGGCTACACTGACCAGTCGTGGAAATGTATGCATAAAATATCATTTTGAAACGGTTTTTTCTGTTATTAAATGGATAGGTCAAGTAGGCTACTTGAAGTATAATTCTGTTTTAGGTCCTGCTAGGCTCGCTCCTCACAAAATTTCCAGTATAAATTTAAAACGTACAGGGTCGTGCTCTTCTCACGCGAATCATAAAAATCTAGATTATTTTCCTCTATTAGCTTTAAACCTGAGCCGCCAAATTTGACCTGTGTAAATTAAGATATAATATATTTGAATCGACTCAATGACTATCGGATGGTCAGTTGTCTGTTAAATAGGAATGTCGAAAGTTATATTATTCCACGTTTCGATGTTTCCAACATCATAATCAAGCATGAAAGTTCGTTAAACGTCAAAGTTGTTAAAAGAGTTGAGATTTGAATTTGTTGAATATCATTAAATGGCATTACTATGTGCATGACTTTATGCAAAGTCGGCAAAGTTGATTGATGCCACTATCAATTAATTTATTACCATGTTTTGTAGCGGACAGTGTACATATTGACGCAACAGACAACAACAGCGACACTCTTCCTAAGGTCATGTGTCCCTTAGTTTCGTTGACCAGAAAACTACACAGAACACAAGGATACAGCTAGAAAGTCTTCTTCGAAAGTCTGTAACATCTTGAAAACAAGAGAGCCAAAACTGAATACGGCAAACTAATAATACGTGGTCACAAAAATGGTTATGAAACCCCAGTTTTTTGTTGTATGTTTTTGTTCTCTTTTTTGGCCTTGAACGTGCACAAAACAAGATTGCTGCGTACTTCTAACTGAGGAACCAACCAATAGAAACGTTTTGGTTACGTAATTCATGCAAGGTGTATGAACACAAAACAAAAGACCGTGCACGGTATACGTAGGTGGACCTTCTAACATAAACCTTGGCATCTTTGTTTGTCCTTTGATGTTTTCCGAGCTTTCCATTCCACTTACGGACTATAGCGTGGTGTATCATTTTAAACGTGGTCTATGCAACATGGACTATGCTAGCTTCTCAAATCGATACCTATATCAGCACATTAAAGAGAACACAAGCTCAAGATCTTCGATATTAGAACAGGTGCCAAACAACATGGGGTCCAAAACCAACCATCACGGAGAATTTCTCGGTCCTCAAAAGTCCTGAAACAAACTTGAGAACTCAAACCATCACTAGACGTGCAATTGGACTCGATTCGCGCGAAGCTAGCATTTTTGCATAAATTCACGCTACAGGTTCATCAATATATTCAAATCGCGACTCTTTTAACTCGAAACGTCGAATAACGTTACTTTTGATATTTCTTGACTCATGAATGTTTTTGCTTGTTGTCTTTTTTAACAGGGTCACATGGATATCAGTACTCGACAAAAACCTTCATATTCTCACTCAGAAACTATTATGGATATGGTTACTTTAAAAACGACGTTAACAACTATTATCAATACTCCACATACAGTAATGATAACTATGGTCCAACCTTTGGTGGGGGACACGATATTTACATTGCAGACTATGCAAATACTAATTACAACTCTTACTTTAACTGTTACTCGTACACCAGTCCCTACTGCGACAATTATCTCTGGACAGGAAGCAGCAGTGTCTGCCCAGATGAAATAGAGGTTTACTATGAAGTACTTGCTAGTAATTAAACAGCTGAGATAAAATTACATGTAATCTGCGCCCACGTGCTGTAATGCATTTTCATACGTAAATCGGATGTAAATCATTGAGGACTTGCAGAATCTATATATTTCATTCCTACTCAGCATATAGGGGGTTTTATTGAGTGCTTTTTTTTTTTAGCGTGAAGGACCTGAGAACATGTCATAACGTTTCAGTCTTAATACTGATGTCCCATTGTAAGGCGGGGTTTGAGCCATACGCTTAAACTCATGTTGGAATCTCTGTCATACATATATATCTTTAGCGTAGTCCCAAGGTAGTAAATAAGTAAATAAATAACAACATAAAAGTAGATTCATGGTTCCCAGGTGGCGTCACTTGCTTGGAGACACCTTAGTCTAACAAACAAAAGGAAGGAGTACAATTTTTGTTTTTTGTTCGGCATAAAGCGGTTTTCAATCAGGTTGTAAAACCAAAGTAATCACTCTTGCCAATCACAAAGGACACATAAAATTAAGCGGACCAATTAAAACTTGTAGCAAGTACATGTCGCTGTCGACATGAAGCTAGAGAAAACGTGTGCGACCAATCAAGTCATCTGTCAGCTTTGGTTTTTCCTTCTGATTCAATGACAGTCTGGGGCGAATTTATTTTAAACCAATTGCTTTGCATAACAATGCAAAACCAAGGCAGATGTGCATCACTTTCGACAATCAAGTGAAAACCGCTCTATCACTTCGCGATTGCAAAAAGTAACAGTAGGCAAAATGATTTCTTGCCAGCCCGCGAAGGCAAGCGAGGCAAGAAACGCAAAAACGATAGGTTTATAGATTTATTTGTTCTGCCTCTCTCCAGTGAAACAGTCACAGTTTAAGCTCTTTCCTTAGCGTTTCGTCTCGTTTACGGACTATTTTGCTTTCTAATGGTGTGCATAGCCCTGAGTGTAAGTGTAGCTGCTTAATTGTTGAAGTCTTACGGTTAGTTTTTTTAGTGAAAAAAAAAAGGTAGGAAACGATTCACAGTTTCTAACATCATATTTCAAATGAGCCCCTGTAAAGTGGGCTATTTGTAAACGGAATACCGGCAAGTTTGCATGCATACCCTAAGTTAAATTCTAGTCTTTCGCAGTTTTATAACCACTAGAAAAATTAGATAATTGTGAGTTTGTAACTTCTATTTTTGAATCTCGGACTATTAATAAACAAGATACCAGAATGATTTGTTCTCGATTTGTAGTAGTGTATAACTAGAGAACTGAGGCTTCATTTTCTTCGTCTTATCCAGCTGAGCTTGCACCGTAGGCACCTTATTTTTTTCTTTTCGAGAATAATATCAAAGTGTTAGGTGAGCTGCCGGCAAAAATAAAGGTGATAATTATTCTTACACATTAAAGTCTTTGGGGATGTTTAATCACATTTTAGAAACGTATAACTGTGCGACTCCACCACTATTCAATCCGTAGTGGTTTATCACTCCTTCTACACTGTCTTGCGTGTCGATCACCGACCACTGTAATGAAATCTCGGATCAGCACTGAGTACTAAATTATATTTTGGGTTTTTGTCAATGAAGTTCTGCACGTATTCTGCTGAGGTATACAACTGAAAGATGGTGGTTCTGACCGTGTATCGTGAGTTGAACCTTCCGCTGTGAGGATTCTTTTAAAAGAGTTGATTACGTATTGTCACAAAAAGCCACCATAACAGTTTTGGGCCACAATTTGCAGTAATTGCAACTGTTAACGTCGAAATTACGGTTCAAACTATGGCAGACGTCTGCGTTTATAATTAACTGATTTATTATCAAGTGTTCCGTTAGGTAAACACCCCCAACGCAGTAAAGCTCAATTCCCCCCACCCCCACCTCCCCTTACATGCAGTAATTAAAATATGTCATTCTTTTCTTCCTTTTTTTTTTATTGCATGCACAATAGTGTTCAGTGATAAAAGCGAAATAGTTTGTTCACTCTTAGCTTGAATGACGGATCTACAAATATTTTTTATGTTCTCCCTGACCATAAGATCAGAAGTTCTAAAAGTCGTTGATTTAACTTAAAGTATAAGCTTTCGAGTAACAAACAAATATTTAAATCCTGATGATCGCAATTTGTCATGGGGAAATCAGCATTCAAACATATGCATTTTTTGTTCCCTGACGTACGATATTCAGTTTGCTTTCGAGCATTATATTTCCAAAAGAAACGGTTTAATTATACTTGTAAACCTAAGTGAATGGTGCCTACTCACCTAACAACAAGCCTTTACCAAAATAAACGCTTAACTGACTAAAATAGGGTCTTGCACCATTAGTGTTTAAAATCACGCCGGCACTAAAAGAAAAAGGCCGTGTAAATTTTGAAAACAGTAATGTAAGAATAGCGAACAAACCATGCTAAAAGCAAACAGCTGTCTTAGTTTAGCTTGTAACTGATATCTAAATTGGATTCAAATAATGCATGTGTCGACTGCAGGGAGACCGGGAGCATTGGAAGAGAATCTACCAAGAAAAACATGAGTTTTATATAAAATTGTGTTGTTTATATCAGTAATTCGTGGTTTGATCGCACGCTTGAGTGATAAGAGATGGCGAAATTAACCAAGAGATAAAAGATAGTATATCACGACGGTATTGATTTTCTGCCATTACGGTGTATCTCTTTATGCAAATGTCTTTTTATGATGATGAATTTATCTTAAATACATCGAGAAAAAGTATGACTAAAAAAAGGAACCAAATCGAAAGAAATGCTAACCAATCATATTATTACACTTTGTCGAGAGGGAAATGGTAATAAGGGAATTGCAAGATTAAATCTTGAAAAAAAAAAAGAAAAAATATCAAACTCCTGAGAAATACTTACCAATCATATCTACTTGTCCCATCAATTGTAAAATTTGTGATTTAGAAAAATTCACTGATAAATATACCGTGCACTCATAAGATGCTTCATATTAGCAAAGCAAATATTTAATTAATTCTCGATTGTCAGAATCATAGTATCTTCCATTCACTGTAACTCATTGCGGGAGGAATACTTTCGCTGATGAAGCATTAGAATCCTTTGAGATTGTAAAAAAAAAAATCACTTACACTCTGTGCAACTAATTCCATTAGCGTAGGCTGAAATACTAACTACATAGAGTTTTTAATGGACGGGCGACTCCAGCCATCAATTAAATATATATTTTTCTACCCTCTGCTTCGTTTCCAATACAATATTTCTGGTTGCGTTTATTTTTGTTCAGCAGGAGCTAAGTACTATTCATCTAAAATACAGTTGTTCAAAAGCTCGTGAAATAACTCGTGTTTTGTTTGCTTTGAAGTGGGTGTAAGGTCTGCAGATCTCTTCAATCAGTCAATCGACACCTGTCTTCCTACCAGAAACTTATAAAATTTGAATTTCTAATAACCTTGTCCTTATTGTCTGCGCTCAGTTGCCTGGCAACGATGGTTTCAAGAAAAATGAAGGTCTATAAGGAAGAGCGACCATTACTGCGACTGAACTACACTCGAAAATGGCAATATTGAACTGGTAGGCCACGATCAGTGAAAATTCACAACAGACACGACAACGGCGGAATATTAGTTCTGTGATTAGTATTTCATGAGCAGACTAAATCTTATGTCCTGTTATGGATGGAGAAGCCGAATGCCTTGCTGTGACCCTTATACTATCTTTATTATCAGTATTGATCGTTGTTGGTCATACTTTGATGCTGATTGTATTGTGGAAAGATCCTTTCAAGCGCTTTCGAACTGCAGCCACACTTTTCGTTTTTGGAATGGTTTTGGCCAATTTTCTGAGTGGTTTATGCGCAGGCCCTCTGCTAATTCTTCGGATCAGTCTTAGTTATACGATTTTGAACCTCTCAGGCTTCGAAACATTGTCTAACGCCGCTAGCTTCCTCCTGTATTGGACCACAAGCGTGTCTTACTTGTCGATGCTTGGCTTATCACTGTGTCAGTACGTTGGCGTAAAAATGCCGCACAAACAGCAAGGGTTGGTCACCAGAAAGACCACAGCAACTTCTCTTGTAATCATTGTGTGCATCTCCTTGTTAGTACCTTCCCTGCTTTTTCTGGGAGTCTCCCCCTCATTAGTCGAAAAGCTACAGCTGCACTTAGCATTTCAACTCAGCAACGTTCTTCTCTGTGTAGTATATGCGACACTCGGGAAGGAGTATCTGCGGCAGGTGAAACGCGCTATGGATAACATTAAATCCACTGCAAGCTGTGTTCGTGTCAGAGACAGACATTTCACCAGGGCCAACCTGCTGTTGCTAGCGTCAGTTACAGTTCTCAGTGTACCAATAATGATAGCATGGCATATTTCAATGTACGGACAGAAAATATTTTCCTCAGAGGCGGGTTTGCGAATTTCGCAGTCTATTACAATCACCATATTTTTCTTGAAGATCGCCCTTGATCCCCTAATCTACAGCCTGCGGCTACCGATTTATCGTAGATCATTTAAACGCCTCTTCAAGTTTAGACGGCATCAAGTCGACAACGCGGCATGAGTCAACACGCAATGTATGCACCGCGAGGCCGGTATTTGTCCAGTTCCGATAGCTACGGCTGTAAAATTTACGCCAATTATTGCTATCTCTTTTTGTACATAAAATGCTGTTAGTATCGACCGAATTTTCCCACTTTTTTTCTTTTATTTAAGTTTTTCAGTGAAAATAAATCATATCTGACTGGAACTGATAAGCGAGGTGAATCCAGTCTGAGATACGCTTTCTTGTAATCTGAGCTCTAGTTTCGTTCTGCGAAAATCGAAAAAATTAAAGCTTGGTACATCAAACGAAGATTTTGTTTTGGTTTACTTAGAACGTAAAATATTTGAACACTAATAGACACGATGATTAATTGTAGCATTGGAAAAGGCTATCCCTGCCAAACTAACGTCTTTTTCGCAATTATCTCACTATGATGGATTTAAACTAATGGATCGTATGTCTAATGGCAAGGACTCGAATCAAACTCTAAATGAATTTTACTATTTGGACTGCACGTAAAAGACATTAAAGCGGCGATGTTTTCAAAAGAAACCACTTCAATTCAAGAACTGGCTAAGTGAGCTTTCTTCTGTTCTCTTTTTACTTTTTTGGTATGTCGAGGACCAATTTTCCCTTTTCTTCGTATCTAGATTACCAATAGGCTTACTTGAATACTCGGATGGTTGCTTTGACATTTATCTATTGATTCTCTTTGACTGCGGTACTCGCTAATATTTTAGTCTCTCTGCCATTGTCAAAACTTGAAAAAAGATTTTAATACCTTCTCCGCATATTGTTGGACTTGGATTTATATTCCAGCTGTCCGGATTCCAGTTTTCTTTCAGTGGCTGTGTTTGTATATCATTTTAATTCATAGGCTGAAATGTTCGTTACTTGCACGTCGAGCTGATGCGGCAAATATCAGTTTATCCAAATGATACGTTACGAAATGTACGTATAACTTAACCTGAAACGTGCGTACATTTTCTGTCAGTGTTTTCGCTTTCTTCTTCTTCTTCTCCCTTTTTTTTTCTTCTTAGAATCCTTTTGGTTGTATTTAGAAGCTTTTAGTTGAAAGATGTCAAACCAGTCAAAACAAGGGTGCTATTCCAAGACTAGGCGGAAGTTATGGAATTAACTCCAAGTTGTAGTTTTAAATAGGTTTAACTCAAAAGTAATTGTAAGCGTTGAAAATAATCTGGAAATTTCCTTCTGAGCGTTAGACAGGAAATTTGGGAAATTGGAGACCACGCGAACAAAACTTATTTCGACCTTGGCGGGGAATCCAGAATATATCACGGTTTAGGCTCTAAACCGTATGCTAGTATTCTGAAAAATCTGATTGTGGCAATTGAACACATTTTGCCCATCATCTCTTGCAAGAATATTATCTTAAGAGTTGGCTTGCAGTGAAGTGATACCTTTTAAGACCATGTATTTGCCTAGACCGGAAAGAGTCTGTGAAAGATTAAAATCGTCGGACACAATAGGTGTAAATAAGACAACGTAAAATAAAATATTATTTCCACTGGAAATAATATTTTATTTTACATTGCTTGATACGATATCAAGCCTCTTTAGTCAGACACCATATTACGTAATTTGATTAGCAACTGATCAATTCAATATGGCCTATGACTGACATACATGTATTTGACATGGCGTATACATTGCTGTATTTGGTGTCCAAGGAGAATCGAGGAAATAATGTCTTGTATTCATTTTGAGGTTTAATACAGTCAGCAAAATATCAAGTTTTTAAACTGACCCGTTGTGGAAACAGCAGGATAATTTCCTTTGTTGACCGTACTCTTAAAACTGTACATGCAGCT